CTTAGCAGCACTTCATCAAGTGTTTCATAACGATGCAAACAATCAGCAAATGTACAGACATCGATATGTGGCATCAACCTCGAATCAGAGGATTGAAGCATGGTTGTCTAATTTTAGAAAGTCTTGCAGTGAATGGTGGATTGGGTTGTTTAAAGATTTGACAGCATCAGGTGCATTTTCGCCAGGAAACCTAATCCAAACCTACTGCATTCGGTATTGCTTCATGGACATTTTGCAGAAAGAACTAGATTTTGTTGCTACTGCATGGAACGAACATTTAATAAGAGGGAGGACCATGTCTGAATGTCCAAGTGGAATCCCTGATGAGCTCTTTTTCCTCTCAGAAAACTAAGGTACAGTATTTGGTTGGGTTTACCAGCCTTCTTCAATCTGAACTACACGATTTCTTCAGTAATATCTCTGATTTCTTAAGGTATAAGTTTGTTATAACATCACCTGTTTAGATTTTAAGTCAGTATTCACCGTGAACCAGTCTCATTTAAGGATTATATAACAAAGAGTGGATTTTGTCCAATCAGGACGGAAGTAGTAGGCAAATTTTGTAAAAATTCGAAGTGTTTTGTAACTGGTTTTCCTGTTAGGTATCTACCTACTAAGAACATTCTCTGCGTGAGATAATTCCTCATTCTATCGTAATTTGCTGTTATTATTTTCACTAGTAACTTGATGTTGTGTATTCAATTTCCTTTATAGGTGGTGAAGACATGTTGCGGCCTTTATCTCCTGTTAAAGTGTTATGGGCCAAACACAATGCAGAAAACCAGTTAATTTGAGTGGCAGCTCTGATTCCGATGCCTATGCGCAATACCTAATGAATAATCGAGGCTATCTTCCGCCAAACAACTGGGAAGAAGCCCTCAAACTATACTTTGACCTTTCGCAGCTTGCAGTGTAATTAAGAAAAGGAGGCATCGTGATTGACCATAACTAGAATGTTTGGTAATCCTTTCGAACCGGCATAAATCATTATGAATAACGCCAGGGAAGAATTGCTTGCTAAATACATTTTATGACTAATTAAAAGTAAGATATCAAAGAAGAATAGAGTATTAGAGTAATCAAGTTTATTGACCATTTTGGCACTTAAGTAGTAATAAATGATTTTTGAATGAACATTATGTATGAAATGGCCTCTGGTTGCTTAACTACGCAATACATATACTTTTCCTTAAATCGAGCAAAATACAACCTATCATACTGTTACAGCAACTTTAGATTAATAATCCACCTGGTGGTCCCTTTGCTGAAAAACCACATTCGAAGCATAACGTTTACTAAATTTTACCAAAACCATGGGAGCTCTCTTTTAAAGCTCGAGCAATAAGTCCCTCAAATTCATCAAAGGAATGAATGCCTCTTGGTAATTGCAATTGTAGGCCGCAAGTGGAAGCCATAGGAAAACGACGTGACCTGAGTTGTACATCAAAAAAATCGATGTCAATATTTTTGGGAAATCCCAAAACGGTAATGTTGTCGGCACCCGTTATAAAAATTAAAAGCTGCGGAAGAAGTCCATGATCTGACTGATCCAGGTTGTCCAAAAACTCTTCCCACCATAAAATGGTGGCCTCTTCCCCCTCTCTTGCCTGATTGCCTCTGTTGCTGCTAGGATCTGAATAGTTAATCCACAATAAGAGGAAAGGGTGACACAAAACACGTCTTTAAGCCCTGTTGGATTTTCCTTGACATATTTTAGAAGGCCTACGCGCTGAAGGCCTTCAAGAAACTGACCTAAGGCTGCCTTGTTGCGATAAATGACTAAACTTTTACACAGTAATAACTCTAGTTCGCTCTTTTCACTAAAATCCCAATTAAAGGAGGTTTGATGCTACAGAGAAGCTTAAATTTCTGTTAGATGCAGTGGAAGAAAATATACTTTCAATGTAGTGAAAAAGTAAAGCTAAATGGAACTGGTCGTATCACATATAATTTGTGACATGGTCCTTCGCAGTCGCCTGATCGGCGTTGCTAAAACGAGGGTAAGGGTAACACCAAGGGTGAGGGTAAGGGTGGCGCTGAGGGTGAGTTTATGGGTAGGGTGAATGCATATGGAAACATAACTGTTTCGATGATCATGCAGCGATCATTCATCCGTTACTCTTACTGGTTTTGTTAAGCACAAAAAAGAAATGTTCTCACAAAAATTGCGTTCTTTTGCGGACAAAGCCTGTACAAAAAAAATCGGTCCAAGAGTTGAGGAAGACCGGAAATCGATAAAAATTGGTCTACTGCTCTCCTTTCCCTGGTCTGACCTCAGAGTTCTCATATTACTCTCCTCATGAAAACCAATTAGAGAGTAAACCTATCGTATGGTAATCACGTGAAATTTCACCAGGACATGAATTTACTTCCAGCATTTGCCCTCTTTGTTTGGTTATAACCGCTAACATGGAACCGAGCAAAACTTCAATTTACAAGGTATACATACTTTTAAACTGATCTTATGACATTTTCTATCTGCTAAATTTAATTTTGTGGCATGCTTTTATTAATTTAAGCTCCCGCGAAATCCACAGTTACCAAGGAATGTCCTGCATGACCACCAAACATTATGAGCTAAGATTACCTTCAGCGACTTTTTGAATAAGTTGCAGCCGTGAGGACAAACAAAGTAGTTTTTGCGAGAAATATCAAAACCCTGTTGCTGGGCGAACGATAAAATCTTCCCTTGCCGATCAAGTAGACTTCTCATTACACGTTCAAATTTCTTAATAATAATAATGATATCATAGCCTACCCTGCAAGTAGAGTCTCCTTAGTAAAATTATGTATATTCAGTTCACCGTAGTTTTCAGAAAGAAAGGGGGATCTATTTTCAACATTTCTATCAAAACGCTTATATTTTTGCATTTGAGCACTTAAAAAACGTTGCGTGAGAACGCACTTCTGATAAAGGAAAATTCCAGGTCGCTGAAGGGTATCTTGATGGGGGGAGGCTTCTCGAGATCCTTCATGAACTCCTGTCATCTAAGCTTAGGCAGTTGCCATTGAATCCCCTTATTGTGAACTGGTATTTAAGCTTTCTCGAGAAACACTAGCAGCGAGTAGTTTATAATGGTTTTGAGGGACAGTGGCACGAGGTAAATAGGGGTACGACACAAGGTAGTGTCAGTGGGCCATATCTTTTTAACGTGTTTATTAATGACTTAGAAATCAATCTAGAAGGTTGCCCAGCCTTGTTTAACTATGCTGATGATTCTACAATTATCGTCCCTTTTTGGGGAAACGGCCAGTGTCGCACTGACTTGGTGGATCAGTTTCTTAGCTGGTCCAGCCGATATCGCATGACATGCAATCCAACAAAATGCAAGGAGATTATTTTCCGTAAGAAAGGTTTCAGTCAGGACATCACGCCAGTTAGTAATATACTGTAGTGCGTAGAGTTATCCATATTAGGTGTTAGTTTCCAACAAAATTGTAAATACAGTAGTCACGTGCGCGTGAAGGTAATTAAGGCTAACAAGTCATTATTCGTATTAGGATCTTTACGTAAGGAAGGAATGTCCCAGGAGGAAGTAGATCACCCTTTTAACGCAATAGTTTTACCAAATTTTTCTTACGCTCTGCCGGTTTATGGTGCCTCAGATTCCGACCTTTCTGTAATACAGAATTTTTTAGACCGGTGTATGAAAAGAAAGTTTATGTCCAAGAATGTAAATATCAGGGACTTGCTAGAGAAGGCGGACAAGACACTCTACAAAAAAAGATCAAATGACCCCGAATGTCCGTTCTTCCAGTTTTTACCTAAGGAAAAGAACACGAGGTACAATCTTAGAAATACGTCAGTCTTTGTCCCTAGAATCTACACTGACAGGTTTAATAACGTTTTTAGTAACAATAATTTTTAGATATGATATGTAAATAGTTTTTTGAGTTTATATTGTAACTTAGGATATGTAATTTTATCTTAAGAAATAAAGATTATTATTATTATTATCATTATTTGTGTGGTTTGTCCACCACTTCCCTCACGGCCCTGTCAATTTCAAGCGTACCCCAGCCTGTACACAGATGTCGTTTCATTTTTATTTTCATTCTTTTCGACAACATCAGCGAGCACAGAACGTCTATTTTCTTCTTCCCCATCCCTACCCCCTTGCGGCGGTGGTCAATAAATCTCTGCGGTTTCTACTTTTTATCAACAACTACTAAGCAACTACAAAGGAAATAACGGAAATCCTTTCAAAGGGTATGTCTAAGCAATAAATAAGCAATAAATTGTGTACTTTCTTTCTTTTTTTCAGCTTAATGTAGGTTCATCTTACGCGTTTAAGGTGGCTTACTGTATTTTTTATTGCTTGTTTTGCACAATTACAGCGTGCGCAACAGGATTCAAATTTTAATGAAACTTTTTTTATGGTTTTTAGTACATAAATATGGCAAAATAAAGTTTCCTACTAGCGTGACCGTAATACCTGTATCGTTTTTAACAACTTGAACCGAAGAATTATGAACAGGTGGATAATGGTCAGGTTTTTCTTGTTTTTTCAAAAGCAATCCAATACAATATATAGATTTAGCCAGGGCTAAAAGCGAGGCTCCCATTAATAAATTTATAATTTAAATCAAACAATAAACTTGTATTCCACAATTCAGTTCACTTTAGAGCACATTCTTGTGACTTTTCAGGGAAAGGCTAAGTGATTTTACAAAAAATAATTTGCAAACAGCCCAAGAGTGAACCAAATCTCACATCGAGTTGATAGCCTCATAAGTACACCCAAAAACTGGCAATCATCTTCGATCACATTTATTAAGAGCCATAATGGCTCTTGATCACCGTAGATTAATTAGGCCAGGAAAAAAAATTCCGGCCGAATTGTTTGCATTCGACAAGTTTATTTTACAAAATCTTGCCAACAAATCTGGGTTCGTGTAAACCAACCTTTTATATCATTTATACATCACATCTGAGGTGAAACAGTATTATGAGGCACTGTTTTTATCATACAGACCTCGGACTACAGAATGCAGTATTTCACAATATTGTGATACAAATTGCTATTCAGGACGATCGAAGCACGCGTGGGTTTTCGCCGTAACCCGTTAAAAAAATTTTCAAAATCATCTATATGGCCAGCCGGTTCTGACTTTTACAGTGCTAGCAGTGGCGAGTGTTTGAATGAACATTAACAGACTTACGCTCCAACATAATAAAGAATTTATTATGTTTATTTTTTATTTTAAATCGGTTTAACGCGCGGCATTTTGAGTACTCCGGGAAGCGTTGTTTACTGAACGACTGAAAACAATCGGCACAATGATTAAAATTACAAGAAAGAGTACTAAGAATCAATAAAAGAAATATAATTCGGTGAAACATATACAGAGACGACAATTTTCATTCAGGAAGACAAGTATTAAAGTGTCTCTAACAATCCTGAGTCTTCGAGCTTAAAGCTGAAGTTTATGTTTTAAGCCGGCTTCCCGGTGTTTGTTTTTTTCAAAGACGAACTCGAACGTAACTCGAGACCTCATAGGGTTGACACCTGAGCCCGCGATACAGTCAAGTGATGCTGGTCAGCGGATACCTTGTTTTGACAGCTGTCAATGGATCAGAACATTGACGTGTATCAGTTTTCCTGTGCTCCGATCCCAAACTAGCTAGAAAGTATGAGACTGAACATTGATCGCGATCTAGTAAAATAATTAACTGGTCAGCGGGTAGCTTCCAAATAAATCACGTCACCTCAATGAGTTGACACATGAGCCCGCGATATGGTCATGAGATACTGGTCAGTGGCTATCCTGTTTTGACAGCTGTCAATTGACCATATTGTGAATGTCCAATGTAAAAGATGTGGACTTGGCAAGACACGCCTGAGACACCCCTCCCTTCCTTTTGATAGTCTCCCCTACCCCACCCGTACAATCCGTAGACGCGTACGTACGTACGTACGTACGCTCGGTCAGTCAGGTGACAACCAAAAGAAAAGAGGTTGACCATAATCTATGGGTATGGGGCGAGGGGCGAAGCGCGAAGCGCGCGTGGGAGCCCCGCTAATATAATCATACGTCACATATAGGATCACAGATCGAGAAAGAAATCTGTTCACATTGGTCACAGGCGATTGCTCTCGCTATTATATCACCCTTGCCCTTACCTTATATGAGCATGGGGAAACAACAAGAAACCAAATTATTGAGAAAGGGGAAGATCCGTAACGAATCGGTAGCTTTTATTGATATAGACCCATCTAATCAAAAACCTCCACATGCACTTTAAAAAGTGCTTCTACAAACGCTCCTCACAGAACACAGAGCGTCCTTTCACCTAAACATTTTACGAGTTCATTTTGCCCTTTCCCTGAACCGTTTCATTTCTTAAAATTTGCTTTAAAAACATTCAGGAATTGATGACCTCAACACGTTACTTTGTATTTTTCTAGTTTTTAATCCCCCTTTTTCGTCTGACTCTTTCACAGACGCGAAATGATGTACTTTAGAGACAGTCCGTCCACACCCTGTCTACGTAAGGGAAAGTTTCCCCTAGACTTTGATGAAAAATAAACGTGCTTCTCTTGGATGTTGACTCCACAAAGATATGCTGCAAACGACCTAACAGAGCAATGGAAAATGCATTTTTCGTTGTTGATCGGACCCAGCTAAAGAGTGCAAATGATTGGCTAGTGTCAAATGTTGGGTCTTTTGAGCATCGTGGATCTAGTGCTAAAGTCTATACAATCTTAAATGGAAAAATTGTTGCGAGTAAAGTTTGGGCTAATAAAAGGCTTGAAGACCTGGTGATGAAAGATGGCCAGTATTGGGTTAAAAATGTGTTCCACCGACACAAAAAGCACTCAGACTTTCTATGCACCAGCACAACGATCCTAGATTGGAAGAACATCACGTTAGTCCCCACAAAAACCCTTGATCGGGGAAAGCTTTCATCCCCACAGCACCGTCCACGCTAGAGGTGATCAAGACAAAGGCTAGATCTCACAAAGGTCCCTCGAACACATTTGACGAGTCTGTTCAGGAGGCAGGTGGAGTTATTTACTGTAAAGCAGCTGCTGACATGCCAAGAGATGTGAAGCAAATTTCAAACACAAGGCAGACTCTGAAGGGAAAAGAAGAACAAGACGAGTTTGCGTCTTTACATGGGTTAGCAAGGCAAGATCCAGCCATACGAAATTTGCAGTGAAATCCAAATCCCAGGGTTGTATTCGCAACCGATCAGCAACTAGCGGAAATAGTGGATGAATGTTGTAGCCCTGCCTCCCAATGCACTTTGACAATCGACACTACATACAACATTGGAGACTTCTATGTGACATCGACGACTTATTAGAGAACGAAATTCATCCAAACTCGAACAGGAAAACCAGCTGCACTTCCTGGACCTGCTATGTTACATGTGAGGAAAGATGAGAAAGACTTTAAATACTTCAGTCACACTCTTCTGGAACACAATGACAAAATCAAGCGCATAGCGTTTGTGGGAGGAGATAGAGACATGGCCCAGCAAAGTTTTCTGTCCCCCCTTACACGGTGTACATTCTTTCGCTGCAAGAAGCATGTGGAGGAAGATATCAGTCGTAAAATTGATGACCTTGGATTGAAAGACATCAAGAATGAGGTTTTGTTGGACATTTTTGGATCTGACAAGTGCAAGGAGAAAGGTATCGTTGACAGTTTAGACGAAGAAGAATTCATTGCAAAAGGTGACAGTCTAGTTGAAAAGTGGAAAAGCATGGAAAAAGTGATCTTCCCGGAGAGAACTCCCAGGTTTGCAGATTATTTTCCAGCTCACATCGAAGAAGATATGAAAGATGGCATGCTTCTTTCCACGCGGAGGAAGCCTGGCTTAAAAGACAAATTGCAGCAATTTCAAGTACAAATCTAAAATCAAAGAAGCAAAAGTGTCAAACAACCCTGGTTACCGTCCTAAATTTGAAGTGTATGAGGACAGAAGCCCTGGTTATGTATAGAAAGCTAGTGGAAGAAGCAAGTAGGGACAAGCAGATGGCTGTATTGCAGAAGGGCTCCTTTGTTTTATCAGAACAATACAGACTTCTGCAAGTTCCCTTGAACAAGTGGTTTGAGATGACACTGAAACAAAAACAGTCCCATCTTGCAAAGGTGGATGTGTCTGCTAAGGAAAATCCCACAGTAGCACTCAGTTTGGAAGATGATCAGGCGCCGAGCACTTCAGAAGCCAGAGAACCAGTATCTTGTGCAGTTGGAGCTTTTGAAGATTCCAAACTTCCAGAATGTTTGCACATTTCGTGGGTTAATGCATGCAAAATAGTTGACCTCTAAGGCATGGCCAATCAACCCTTTAATCCAACCAAAAGAACAGTCATTTCTCTCAGTGGGTCTACAACCCACACGGTGAAGATGGGAAAGCAGAAGAAGCAGCTTTATTGTGATGAGTTTTGTCCCCGATTCAAAGAGGTGGCGATTTGGGCCATACGATTGCCGTTGCACACAACGAGGGACGTCTCTCAGAATTTATTACGTCCTACAAACTACCAATGAACTGTCTAGTACGCTCTGGCATACCTGGAGGATCTGGTAAAAAGAACAACAAGAACCCACCAAGATATGTGACCCAATTTGGTGAGCAAGTACATGTAACAACCGAAGATGCAAATGACTAAATAGACTCTCAATGTGAAGTAGTGTTTGTGCACAACACATCAGCCTCGACCTGTTATGGCTGTAAAGGAGGAGTCAGAGATAAACACTCATCTCCGCTCCCTCCCGCCCCGTTTGATTTATTCATTTGTCACCGAGAATGGAGGGTTTTTAATTGTCCTGGGGAGACCAAGATTAGAATCAGCGTAAGACCTGAAATGGTGCATTATCATCCACTGAAATCCTGTACAAATTTTGATGACGTCAATACAGGAAGCCATGTCGTATCTAAGGACGTCCATCGACTACTCAGTGGTGTCCACTTGCGTCATCTTAGAAAAGAATTTGGTCTAGAACTTGAATAATCTGCTATATATTAGGATGATATCACACAGTTAGGCACTGACCACAGTAAAGACTACAAAATTTAGTGTTTTATCGTCATCACAAATACATCGATATATTTGCGTCTACACTACCGTTTTGATGCGTTTTCAACGTTCCACATTATAACAGTCAAAAGGGATAAACTTGCATGCTGTTACATTTAACTCTATGTGCATGCTAGAAACACATGTGCCTGCGCTATCTTCGGTCATCGTTTTATTTTTGATGCATTTTTAACTGTCAACACTAATACTATTTGTGTGTGACTTCCTTATTGTCCTTTTTAAAAGCGCATTCAAATCGTTGCGTTTTCGATGAAAAAGCTCAGCATATTAGTGTGGTCGGAAGGCCGGTTGGAATGTCAACATTTTTATTTGCAGTTTTTAGTTGAAAAACAACTGTATAAGGCGTTCTCCTTAGTAGGCTATCGTTTTTAAATGGGCTTGATAGTACATCACATCAATTTTTTGAGCAATGGAACCTTAACCTATTTAAAATTCAATTTTGTTCAGAAATGTAGTAAGCCCAATGCTTAAACGAATTGAGTTCCCACTTCGAGAGGGACATACAAAGTTAGGCAGAGTTAAATTGGGTTGCACTATATCATACTCTTTTGGAAGGTTGCTGTTTCATCGCCTTCAGATTAAGGACCTGTTGACATTTATCAATTTTTATAAGTTTGTTCCAGTTTGTGAGGTTTGGTTCCTTTTGACCGATCAGTTGTTGTTCATGGGAGTGGCCTAAATCAAGGTGACAATATCTCTTACTTTACAATAGTTTTATTTCCCTGATTATTCAGTATCTTTGTTCTCAAAATTACACGTTGTTTCGTCTGTACACATATAGATCAAATCTAGATGGGAGTAACCTTTAAGTTAACACTGATGGTAAGATTACAGATCAAGGATATAAGTGAACACTTTAGTGATTATTGTAAGTTGTGATTATCATATTAAGGCATAGCCAGTTGAAACTGGATTTCCTCGCGTGAAAAAGTGGAAAACACCCTTTCTAACTTGAGAAAGGCTGGTCATAGTTCGCATTGACTGTTTCGTTTTCTTATTAGACTGTTAAGAAGGCATATTATCATTAATTCCTTGTCATTAAGCATCATCTGGCATATTATTGGAAAACGGTGCTCTTTAAAATGAGAGGCTGGTCCAGGGCTGTTCTAATTTCAAGGTTTGGCTAGCTTTCGCTTTTGTGTCAGTGATGGGAACAAAGGTCGCTGTTGCTTTCGCAAACATCTTTATGGCTAAAGTAGAAACAGAGCTATTAAAGAAAAGCACAATAAAGCCTATCTGTTGGAAAAGATATATAAATGACATCTTCTCTCGCCAGGATAATGGAAGAAAACAAATAACACACTTCATTGAACAAGCAAATAATCACCACGCCACTATTAAATTCACAGCACGGACTGGTTGAAGTCTTGCTTTGTTTTCAAAGCGAACGTTAAGCCTTTGATGAATGGTTGATTTGGTAAGCACTTCCTGGACATCTCGCTCTACAACACTGCTAATATATAGATCTAGCCAGGGCTAAAAGCGAAGCTCCCGTTAATAACTTCATAATTTAAATCAAACAATAAACTTGTAATCCAAAGATCAGGGCACATTCATTTGGCTTTTGAGGCAAAGGCTAAGTGATTTTAGAGAAAAATAATTTGACTGTCCAAGAGTGAAACAAATTTTACATCGAGTTATTAAATAGTCTTATTTGTACACCCAAAAATAGCAATCATGTTCAATCACAGTAGATTAGGCCTGGAAAACAAATAGACCTATTTGAGTATTGTATTTGCATTAGTTGTGACATCATAATGTGGCATTCACCATTTTCTCCAACACTGCTACGTTAGATAGACTATGGATTATTGGACAACCCCGAAATATAATTTTAAGAACCACGCGCCACAATAGTCCTTAGTGGCAGCCAGTTTACACGTTGCATTCCTCTGTCTAAAAGAGAGGCCAAAATAAAAAATCAGGCCGGATTTATTGTGTTCGACAAGTTTAGTTTACTAGTAAATCTTGGCGATGAATCTGGTGGCGTGTAAACCAGCCTTTTAAACATACTTTTTCTCATCACGTCTCAGGTAAACAGTACTATGAGGCCCTTTTTTATCATACAGACCTCGGACAGAATTTGTTCTTTTTTGCCCTAATTAAACCTATATTTCTGCAGTTTTTCACGATTTTGCAAGAGAATTTGCACTTATTCAATATCCACGACGTTCAAAGCACGCGCTTCGTTTGCACAACAAATTATAGCATTGAATTATAAAACGTTTTCATGAAGAGAATTCTATAATGCCAGGACTTTTCAGTTAGAAAAATCTGGTCCTATGTGATATGCAGGGTAACAATTATGGGCTTTTAATGAAAACGATTAAAAAAATTCCCAAAATCACTTTTTGGCCAGCCGGACGGGTTCTCACGTCTGACAGTTTCTAAATTTACAGTGCGATTAATCACAGGTAGCCCAAGCTCGAAATATGAGCGTCAGCGAGCATCGGCATTGTTGCATAACATTCAAAACATAAGGATTTGTATGGGAAAAAATTAAACCTATTGTTTCCATAACCTACGAAAATGAAAGGATTTCAATAAAAAACAGCTTACCTTACTTAAAATGTGTTACATCTCTCCTGTGTGGTCCACGGGCCGATTTATGGTCGTTTTATGGGTTTTTATGTAAACCGTTTTCCCTCGATATAAAGGTTTACCAAGGTTGGGCATTCCAGCGAAGCGGCTCGACTGATCCACCAAAGGAAAACGGCCGTAAATTCGCTCCTATTGCCTCCAAATTCCACTTAAGTAACACATGACAGTTCCATTCGTTATCTTGCTTCAAGATGCCCCTGCACGGAGAGCGAATCAAAGGTCGCAAATCTCTGCAACCTTTCCCGTCTGAAGCCATCATCTGAGGCTCGGCCTGAACTCCGCGTTATATCGTATACTTTAAATGCATTTGAATAATGCTTTGAAAGTTGATTCTATTACTTGTTTTCGACAATAGCTATTTTATTCGACTGAATTAAATTCAACATCTGAAATTAAACCAAGTCTCTCAGTTTCTCCAGTTGTGGTAAAGTACAGCAAGCTCTTGCACCTATTTTTGTCTCGTCATCCAATGCTCCTCCTCCTTTGTTGGGGAAGAGTGCTGTGTGATGAGACAAAACACAGCTGTGAGGGAGACTAGCTCAGCATGGAAGTAACATGACATTTCAACCGTTATTTCATTAATAATAACAATAATAAGAAAATAAATATTATTATTATTATTAATGATATCAATATTGATAATAATAATAATTCAAATGAAGATCTGGATCAGCTACTGATTACTGAGCCACTATACCAATTTTGAAATAGCATGCACGTTATTATGCGGAAATTATTACATTTTGTGTTATTACTCTATGCATCTGCATCAAACCTTGAACAAGACATCTGTAAATCCTGTGAAGCTCACAATGCTGTTGTAGAGGTAAAAACACTCTATCGGCTGGTGAAAAGTTTTTAAATGTCAAAGTGCTACAAAAGCACAGCTTCAAAGTTTCTTAGGAGGCACCCTATCAGAAGCTCTTAAAAGAAAAGAAAGTTCTGGTTAATACCCCGCAGCCATTAGTCAGAGAGAAGTACGTGTCAGCTTCAATGGCCAGTAAGTCTTAAGCTCAGCTTTGGGTCTCCATCACGTACATCTTGCATACCAAAGAGGCAAGAAAGAAGTGGTGAAGCAAGTTATGATTGAGAGGTTTGCAGAGCCGTACAAAGTGGGGGGCAGTTGCCTCCGCCAGGGAAACAAAATGTCTTTTTTACTAATGTAGTGTTTGATTTTGCTGGGATATTTCTCATAGCTATATTGGTCCGAAATTTCAAGAAAACCGACTAATTGACTGAAAAATCTTCCTTCGATGTAAATTCCAAATTATTTTGGAAAATCTTTCAAGGCACAAGCCAGTACGAGTTATGACAATAATGATTATGTAATTTGGGGTGCCTGTGGTTCAGTATTTGGTGGGAAACAGTTGACACGTGTTGCTTGCCAGGTTTGCAAAACGTTTCCCTCTCAATCTACTAGGAAAATGTTGGGAAGAAAGCGCCCGGCTCCTGCTCAACGAGGTAAAATGGACTTCTTTGACCCCCCAAAAAGGCAACTATCAAACTACAACGTGTGTTATTTAAGAGCCATTATCTGAGAAAATCGAGAATCGCACGACACTCGTCAAAAAATCGAATTTTTTTTTCTTTTGCCAAAACATCCCTTTTAGTGACCTTATTTCAGGAAAAATAGTTTTGGGTTCAAACGATTCATTTTAAAGGAGAAATTAGGAAAAGTTTGAAAAATCGATTTTATGCTCGTTTTTTGCACAAAACACGGCAGGATGCAATGGCAACTTCGAGAGAAGGGTGAACGCGTAAGAAACATTCCCTGACATTGAAACTTTACCGAATTATTATTTTGTTCTTACTCTTGAAAATCCTAAAAGAAAATTTGATAAACAATGC